GTTAATAGCAGAATAAAAGAACCTACTGCTTCATTGCATTCACATGCATGTATATGCATATGTATATATACATATCTACAAAAATACACATAAACATACATATATGTGTGTGTACAACAAACACACACACACACACATATATATACATATAAATATATATGTATATAAACATATATATGCATATGGCTATGTATTTAATCATATACATATGTATGTATACATTTATTTATATTTGCATTTGTACATATACTTATATATATACACATAGATGTATATATACATTTAGTCAAACATTAGTTCATTTATCTATTTTTATCCAATACAATTATCTATCATACACACTAATACACTGTACTTCATTTGTCGTTCAGAAAAGGAGTATTGGGAAAGGAATCAGGTTTCTAGATTCCGGCTGAAGTTTTCTAGTATCAGATTTGGTATGTGACTTACAAACACATACACACATACACACACACATACAAAGAACTCAATACAGAATACAATGGAAAAGATTTGGAGAGACGTACTTCCTGCAGTGGAATATTACTGGCTGATGATGATATTATAAATATATAAACACACACAAAATGTATGTATTTATGTGCACACGTTTGTGTGTGTGTGTTTGTTATTCTATCTTCTCTCTATCTATCTGCACACACACGCACACGCACAAACATATATATATAAATATATATATATATATATATATATATATATATATATATATTATAGAGACATGTTCACACTACACACACACACACACACACACACACACACACACAACACACACACAGATATATATATATATATATATATATATATATATATATATATATAAACACACATACACATACTTATATTATCATATATGTGTGTGTACACACATACACACATACACACACACACACACATACATATATGTGTGTGTACACACATACACACACACATACAAAGAACTCAATACAGAATACAATGGAAAAGATTTGGAGAGACGTACTTCCTGCAGTGGAATATTACTGGCTGATGATGATATTATATATATATAAACACACATACACATACTTATATTTATATTTACACACACACACACATACATATATTTGTATATATACATATCTACAAAAATACACATAAACATACATATATGTGTGTGTACACACATACACACACACATACATATATTTGTATATATACATATCTACAAAAATACACATAAACATACATATATGTGTGTGTACAACAAACACACACACACACATACATATATTTGTATATACATACATATATATGTAAATATATGTATATATGTATTTTCAGGTCATCTTATAGTTGTTTCTGTTTTTGTTTCTCCTGTTTTCGTATGTATATAGATGTTATATAAGTGTATATATACTTATACACACATACACACACACACATATATATACGCATGTATATTTATCTATCTATCTATCTATCTATCTATCTATCTATCTATCTATCTATCTATCTATCTATCTATCTATCTATCTATCTATCTATCTATCTATCTATTCATATATCTATGTATATAAACATATATATGCATATGGCTATGTATTTAATCATATACATATGTATGTATACATTTATTTATATTTGCATTTGTACATATACTTATATATATACACATAGATGTATATATACATTTAGTCAAACATTAGTTCATTTATCTATTTTTATCCAATACAATTATTTGTTATCAATTATTCATCATTATTATCAATCTTGATTTTGGGTACAAGTGCATCTAATTTTCAAAGTGAGACTGGCTAGATTCCGAATGTAACCGAATGAAATGGTAAGCATTCTAGTCTCGACCAACGGCATCGTGACTAGAGCGAGAGATGGAGTCTGATTTCGGATTTTAAAGAAGGAGGAAATTGCCTTGAGAAAACTGACAGACTCACTGGTAATTTGTGCTTCATTTGTCGTTCAGAAGAGGAGTAATGGGAAGGGAATCAGGTTTCTCGATTCCGACTGAAGTTTTCGAGTATCAGATTTGGTATGTGACTTACAAACACATACACACATATATTGTATGTATCAGTGTTTGGTTTGCACTGAGTTCTTCCATCTTTCTCCTAGGTTTCCCAACGGGATCTCGCCTCAGAATCATTGAATCCGAGACGCTCACCAAGGAAGTGTACATCGGCGTGCTCACAGGCGGAGGCATCTTGGATATACCTGGTAAAAACAGAGGGACATAAACACACATTACACGAATGGAAATACACAATTTTGTTAATTTTGAATATAAGTTTTCTAGTTCAAGTCAGTCAAGTCATGAATTCTTAAAGAGAATTTGAAATTAGTACAACATATTGGGTGTTAGGGGAACCTAACTTTCCACTGACTTTCAAGTAGTAGTTAATACATTTTGCCCTGATGTGAGCAATCGTCTTGTCGCATAGCTAATGACTGGTCCTGTTCTTAATACTCGCTTTTCTTCCCCCAGAGCCATACTATTGCGACTGCCGTCTGGCTTGGCTGCGTTTGTCTCCGTGGGTGAAACAGGCCCGCGTCCGTTGCCAGACATCAACCTACCCAAACGACCTGGAGAACACCCCTGAGTCCAACTACAGCGACTGCAACTGACGAGTCTCCTTGAATGACACTTTCCTTCTAG